TAATTAGAGTCTGATAGACTGTATTACAGCTGTCACCTTAAGCGTTAAGTGCATATAATTTCTATTTTGAGCTGCAGGGTTTCATTAGTGGTGTCCATCGGCATCAAGAATTTAACGTGAGGTGCCGAGTTTCAACACTGGTCTCCGATTTCTTTCTCACTACAACGTTTAAAGGGCCAACTGCAAATCAAAACCAATGGCCAAACCTAGGTTTTACATGTCATATACCTGGATATTATTGATGAAAATAAGGCTTACATTAAATTATTAAAAAATAGTATTTTTGGTATCACTTTTAAAGGAGTGGTGTTTCCTTTCATTCATGTTATCACACTGTTTGTCACATGTTTGACAAAAATTCTGGTGATAGTAAAAAATGATATGCGTGTTAGTTAATTTTCATACAAAGAGTTACAAAGTACGAAGGCAAAGTATACTGAAGTAATTTGCTCTGCTTTGTCTTTTATTGTCTGTGGATTCTAATTGAAATATATAAAAAAACAAATAGATGTCTAATCGCATAAACTTATCAGATAATAATTACACAGTGTCTGTTAGCTTCAATGACTTTAAGCTTTTTGTGATATTAGTATTTATGGTTATAATAGAATACACTGCTAATGAGTTTTTATAAAATACTAAATAATTCATTTTACATGCAGTTTGCACAACTGTGAAAACCAATTATTGCTCCTGTTCTGAAGTGTTCATCACACACCCTACATTGTTTACATAGAGAAGAGGAAAGAGACTTAGGGCAACGACGCACGACTTGTTCACCAATTAAAAAGGACAAAATGTGTTTGTGCAGGAGCTGCTCTACTGTGTTCTTATACAAACACAGGACCTTCCAGTTGCCTGGTTTCAGGGCACAGCCCTTGTGTTTTCCTACCAGGTAGGTAATTCAGTTATCTGGGCATTGTTCTCCGTTCATCCCTGTTGAATCACATGGCTTTGCCAATAGATTTTCTCAGCTTTAGATAAAACCTCCTCCAAAACAAGCACAGACCTCACAAGGTCTAAAACCAGGCAGAATATTTCACCTCACCAGGGAACACTCTACAACGACCAGACTATTGTGACAAATAAACATTGACATCCAACTACGAACAATAATGGATTCTGTTTAATGGAAATGGAAATGTAAGGCCAGGTAGACAAGTCTCCATGTTAACAGGGAGAAAAGGAAGTGTGTGTCAGACACGTGTCTGTAATGCAGAAATGCAGCAGCTGAGCAGTGAATGGTAGAAACGTTTGATTGTTTTCTGAGGCTCTGACAGGAGGATCACATTTAGAGCAACAGCCACACTGCAGCTGTGGGGTATTTCCACCCCATAAGGACCTAATGTGCCTGAAGAAACACATAATAAGTCAAAACCGTCAACCGTTTTTTTTTTACATCTAATAAAAAAACCCTATATATCTGTTAAGTTTATTAAACCTGATTCCACAAAATGCTTTTTGCAAAACAATCATATCATAAAGATTTACTAGAATTATGCATGTTTTCCCATCTCTCAAGATATGTAATGTTGAATTTTTTCATGTGGAAACAAACTTTAGTTTTGTGAAAACATTAAATCTGGAGCTTAATATTATAAACACATGAGAAATTAAATATCGTGCACACATTGCTAATACTACAAATCCCGCCAGTTTGTAGTGGCTATATTCTGGCGGGTCAGATCTAATACACACATGATCTTGTGGGCCAAATATAATTACACCAGGGGCCTGAGATTGACACCTGTGCTGTAAACAGTTCACACATTTTATTTACTAGCAGTGGCCTCAGTTTAACAAAAAAAAAAAAAAAAGAAACATTGTATTTTCATTTTTCATTTATTTTACCATAAAAATGGCGGCCTGATGTTCCTGCAGGAGTCAAACAGCAGATTACAGTAATTGAAAGCCCATGCTGTGACAGAAATAACTGCTCTCAAACAGGGGCTAGACCCACTGGTGCCTTCTGCTGTCTGTTGGCAGGAACTAAATATATTTTTTGCATTCTGAACGGCATTCCACTCGAACGCGTACGTGCCAGTAGTTGGAGAATAAATAGCTTCCTCAACCAGGCCTTGAGACGTGTCAGAGATGGGCACACATGTATGTAATAAGGTTGTTGAGAGCCAGAATTGTGTCACTCCCTTCCACCTGTCCCCCCTGAAAAACATCACTGGCACTAAGTAGTTCCGGCGTGCTCCCAAAATGTGAACTTCTGCATCAGAGCACAGAGCGCTCAGTCTGGTCTGAGTGGAAGCAGGAGGCGAGGGCCTGTGTAGCAACAGCCACTCTAATTTAGTGGTGCGAGAGGAAGGGTTTACATAAGAGGTGTTCTGTGCCTGTCACTCAATCTGCACCTGATTGACAAACACAAGATTTATGCCCAGGCTATTCTGAGC